GGTCACCATCCCTCGCCAGGCGGATGACCTCCTTGTAGGGCAACAGCTGTGACATGTCGTTGAGCTGCTTCTGGGTCTGCTGCACCTCGGATGCTGTCTTGTAGTGCTGTGCCACCTGCACGGCCACCTGCACCCATGCTTCGGTGTCCTGCATCTCATCAAACTCCACTGTGGCTGCCTGAGCGGCCGCAATGTTGTGGTTGATGACGCGGTTGGCATGACTGTTGAAGGCTGACTGGTCAGACGCCAGGTGCTGTCCTCCTGCCGCCTTGAACATCAATCCCCACTCCTGCACAGTGTCCAGGATGTCCTCCCCATCCGCTGCATCCGCTGCGAGGCCAAGCATATCACTGAAGGGTCCCAGCAAGCCAGGAGCAGCAGTCAGGCCGGCTGCGGACAGGCTGCCGGTGGTGGCTGGGGCCAGCAAGCACTGGAGGGGGGTGTTGAAGGGGTGCAGGGGGGGGAGCACATGCCGAACTATGATGGCGCCAGCCTGGTGAGGGGCCTCGGGATGAACGGCAGCTGAAGGGGGGGGTGCAGGCATGGCGGCTGCGGGCGCCTGGGCAGGAGCTGCACTGTGGGCGGGCTGCATCTCGAGGTTGCCAATGATAGTCCGCACCAGCTGATTGTATCCACCGTTGTCGACTATGGTTTCAAGGTCAGAGCCAGCCGGAATGCGAGTCCCCTGAGCTCCACCCTCCATGGTGCCCTGGGTGCGACCGTGCTGACCCGGCCCACCCGAGCAACCCAGTCCCACGTTGTCCAACACGGGGGCTCACCTGCATCGTCCTCGCCCATACTTGGGAGGGGGTGCCAGCCTTGCAGTGGAACTCCGGAGATGAGCTGAAGTTTGTGCTCTTGAATCGCCAGCCAAGCGGTGTCATGGGTCTTCAGGTCGGTAACGGAGTCTGGAACACTGTAAGGAGTCTTGAACTGTGACTCGTGCTTGCACCGGATGGAATCGAGTTTGGCTGTGTGGGTGTCCTTGGCTGATTTTGAAGCCCGAGCGGGCAAATGCTGCTCCTGCTGGCCGAGGTCTGTCGCCAACACCTCATCAATAGCCAAAAGCTGATCTTCTACCCGTTGCAATATGTTCAGTTCATCCGATGAAAGCGGTGGGAAGGAGACAAGCTCTTGGTTGCAGTCAGCGGTCGTGCGCAGATGGTCAAAGGGCGACATGGCTACAGCAACCAACACCAGACAAACTGACGAAATGAGTTGAACCGTTGCGCGTGTTTTGATGGTCTCCAAAGAAAAGTCGCCAGATCCACACCGCTGACCAACAGGCAATAACAGCGGCAACTAGCAGGTAAAGAGAGCTCGTACCAGAAGCCGAGTCAGAGATCACGAAGAAGATTAATAAGACAAGACGAACCACCACCGAGCAAAACAACAGCTCAAGACAACAACCAACCAACCGCACCATAGGACCTGCAAACCACATTTTCGGCTACACCTAAAATAAGATCTTTTCGCGTACGGAGCCCCTTTACACGATTATTTTAGAGAACTTTTACTATCTATTAATGTATTTAACTAGTTTCTTATCGCCTGGGTGATTCGCTGAGCCAGGTGTGAGATTTTTTGAACTTAATGTTAGTGTGCGGCCAAGTGGAAACACCCTGTAAGTGTGGCTCTCGAACCGGTGGCGGCTTGCCCCATGTCGCCTGCAACGTGGGTGTGTATACACAAGCGGTGCATAAGGCTGGTAGTGCATATGGTTGAACAGCCGTCGCTGCCCTGCCCGCATCGATGATAACATGTGGTCACGCCATCCAAAGAACTGCTTAATTGATTGACAGACACGGCAATTCAACGTAGGGCATATACAACTGTCCAAACTACACCAGTAAAATGTTGGGAGGTGGGAACAAGAAATTAATCCTCGAAAATGTGGCAAGAAGAGGGTGCATGCACCCAGCGCATGCATGCAATTGAGCAGGGAGGAGGAAAATGCTCCCATCCTGTCCCCCTGTTGGCCCTCAGGGGCTAACGCGCCCATGCTGGCCAGAATGGCAAAGAAGTTTCCTGATCAACAATTAGTAGCGGTTTTCGGGGTAAAATTTAGCATATGGATATGCTTAGATGTATGAAAATGTGGGCGATACAGCCGCAATGCACATTTGTACTTCTTGTTGGACTGGTGACCAAGCGGGTTTTATATTGCAAGCCCGGTTTCCAGGCCCCTTCCACGCCGGAAAACATGCAAAGCTACGCTGAAATATCGTTCGGTTTTCTCCGAAAATGCCTTAGGGAGGCTTCGGTGGGGCCCCCGAAGAAATGCTTCAAAAGGCCCAGAATCCGTTCGGGATGCTCCGGGGTGCACTATTTTTCCTTACGGGCAAAACGGACAAATCTCAAAATTGTTCGGGCCCGAATCGGGGTGAAGAACAGAAATGATAACATAAGGAATTCACAACACAAGGATTCAGCCTGTCCATGTGGCACGTGGTTATAAAGCACAAAGTCAGATGTCGAGCAGCAGTGCTTGATGGACAGCTCACTTTGCTCAGGTAACGTGAAACGTCTGTTACGTTGGCTTGCTCAGCCCTTAAGGCCCATAAGAAGATGGACGAATCTGTACGGCAGGGCCTCCCCACAGGAAAACGGCTCCATGACTCAGCAAATTTTTTATGAAACACGGAACAGTCCAACGCTGCTCCCTCTACGGAAACAAGGTAATAGTCGTCAGACACTGCCTGTCCTAAGCAGCCGTGTCGTATGTATATACAATGTATGCCGTACAAGCCTGCTGTACAGCATACAAGACAAGATCCACTCTGCACATCTCTTCTCTCCACCCGCAAAAACACCAGTGGAGGCATTATTACTAATCGTCGTACTCAGCCAGTCGGCCTCCAGCCCCAGCCACCTCCTCCTTCTTGGCTACCAGCATTATTGCGTCTTCCTGTTCATCGTACTGCAACGTGCATCTGACCTCAACCAACAACCGCTCCGTAAGGCCCCATTTATCCACCCGCTTGTCCGGCCCCACTACAAAACCACGATCCACAGTGTGGCACGCACGACACAACGTCTGGCATACACCCCGCACGCACTCCACCACAGGCGTCCACGCCTCCGTGCCACCGTCAGCACAGCGCCACCGCGCCAGCCCGTGCGCCTTCATCACCGCCGGCAGCAGCGGTGATGTCCACAGCCGCCGCGCGACTGCCGTACAGCGTGCCAGACATGACACTAGTCCGAGCACTGCCAGGTGCAGTGCCGCCGGGCGCTCTGAGTCCACCGCCGCCGCCCTGGGGCTCCCAAGAACCGACACCAGGTGCGCCTCCAGATCACAAAACAATACCTCCGGATGCACCGTGCCGCTGGCCATCAGCTGCCACAGCACACTGGCAGCATCGACAGCGGCACGCTCCGCCGCCACCACCACAACAGCAGCGGTGCCGCCGCCACCCCAACCAACCCCTCTGGCGGCCAGCAGCCAAACGAGCTCCGACAGCACCGCCTTCTCCTCTTCAGCGGCAGCCCGCCGGGCCGCCGTACCCTTGGCAGCGGCGCCGCCGCAGCTGCCGCCGCGAGAACGCAATTTTTGCGGCCGGGCAAGTGTTCGTCCCACACCCTCGTACACCGTGATGGCGGAGTCAAGCATGCATGCTGCGGTGGCACGGACGCGGGCGCGGTCCGCCGTGCCGGCGTTGCTGGACAACGGCGCGCGAAGCGTCTCGACCGCCAGCCGGAAGCTGTCTCTCGGCTCACCAGTGGTCGGATCCGGCGGCAGGCCGAGCTCCACGCGGGCCCGATGCAAGTTGGTCATCACGATGAAACATGACTGTGGAGGAGTGTTTGTTTAGGGGTTTTACTACCTTGGCGTGTTACGTTCCTGTTGAAGGTTATATTTTACCAAACAACTGCGACCTGGGTCAGGAATACGGGTGATAAGCAGCAGTGGTATTACCTCGGCCCCAGCCGCTGGTGGTATGAGCACGACCGGCTTCTAATGCTCGTAGACCTCCTTCCATAACTTGCACCACATCACCAAAGCTTTGGAGGCCAAGTCCTCCTAACCCCTAGGCCCCCCCCCCCCCCGATTTCCCCAACCTCACAACAACTCCCCTCCCGCAACAACAACACCCTCCATCGCCGCCCCGGGCCGTGACCCACCTCCAGCAGTTGCGCCCCCAGCCTCCAGCTCGAGGTGCTATCCGATAGCTGTCGTACTGACCTCTCCGCAGTGCCGTACAGCCCCTCAGCCAGCGGCCTTGAGGTGGTGCTAGAGGCTGTGGCGGCGATGGCGGCGGCACCCTCACCATGTAGGCTGAGGTTGGTCAGCAGAGCCAGCAGCTGCAGCCTGAGAGGGGAGGCCGCCAGCAAAACCCAAAGTCGGTACCCTTCCTTACCCTTCTCCCTCCATTCATTTCCCATCCCGAGTGCCTCTGGCCCAAACTTTCATTAAATCTAAAACCGTACAACCCTCCACGTGAACCCTCAAAACCCTAAAACCCTCGAAACCACCGCACTCGGTACCGTGGTGGCGGCTCACCTGAGGTCCTGCCCACTTCCACTCAGAGCGGCAGCTGTCGAGCGGGGCGGCGGCGCGCCGTCATCAACATCTGGCAGCTCCAGTAGTGACGCGATGTACGGCATAAGCCCCGGCTGACTACAAATGGCCTTGCATCCACCGGCGCTGAGCGCAACTGCTGCCAGCACTCCCATGCAGCAGGTCTGCAGCTCCTGGACCTGCGCTGCTGTCGGCACGGTCGATACCCGAACCTGCCGAACAGAATGTATGGCGTTCAGCCACGTCGCTACTGCCGGTACCAATGGCGGCGGCGGCGGTCTGCGGGGGGCCCCCCCGATGTCCAAGAGGGGCAGCACGAGCGGTGGCGGACGTGTCGCCACCCGTGGAGGCATGTGGACAGCGCTGCCCCCGACACGGCCGCCGCCGCCGCCAGTAGACCCCCCGCTACCTCTCGATCCCTCCGGAGCGCCTATCGGTGTGCAGCCCGAATCTGCCACAGTGTCGCTGCCGTCAGAAGGCGGCGCAGCGTGATCCATTTGTCCGCCGTGTGTACCCTTCCGTGGTTCTGTAGGGGCCAACACTGCTGCCGTGGCGACAACAGCGGAACCCGCAGGTCCTGTATCTACTTCTGCCCCCTGCTGCTGCTGCTGCTGCTGCTGCAGCAAGGCAGAGCCAGCAGCCACAATCGCCTGCATGCGCTGCTCCTTGCCCTGCGAGGAACAGGAGGAGATGAGGAGGACTAGGAGGCCAGAAAGCCGACCGGACCAGAAAAGACCATACATGAAGGTGACCGACTCTGAGAACCGATCCCGCAAGCGCAGCCATGAAAACTCCCCGTGCATGATGAGGTGCGTGCGTTTCCCGGCGACCGGAAGCTTTCCTCTCCTCTCTGGCCATGGAAATGGGCTCAAGACACGGCCTATGGTAGCACGGCGGTACGACGGTACGACCAACACAACGCACCGTCAGCTCCACACTGCTGTCGATTATGCTCGAGTCTGCGTCCTGAGTGTTGCCGAGGGGGTCCCCAGTGCCGCCGCCGCTGCCGCTGTCCGTTTGTACCGCCCTGCCGCCACCACGGCCGCCACCGCCGCTGCCGCCACCACCAGCGCTACCTTCACCGCCGGCCCGACCGCCACCACCACCATCATCATCGCTGCTGTCAGCTACACGGCTGTATCGCTGGAGGATGACAAGCAGCACGACAGTACGGCACATGATGCGGCGGCCAGGCAGTGATGTTGGACACTGAGTGGGGATCCCCATGCCATGTAGAGTACGGAAGGACAGGTCAAACATTACTCATCATTCTCTACCCACCACGACCCCCACGATTCTCCCGACAACTCCCCCGTGCAGTGAAGTAACTCACATATGCATACAGACTACAGTACTTACACAGATACGCATACATAGACAGACAGATAGACAGACAGACAACAGACAGACAGACAGACAACAGACCTCACCTCCCGCGGAGAAGCTCCCGGAAGAGGGGGGGAGCCGTCCGCAACTGCCCGGGTGCCTAGGGAGCCCGTCAGCAGTAACCCCCTAGTGGACCCAGTCCGCAACGGTGCCAGCTGCCGCTCCACCGTCGCGTCGCCAGTGGCCGCCGCGTCAGGCATGACCCGTGGGTCGGTGGAGGCCGCCTCTGGTGTCTGTTGAAGTGGCGGCGCCACTGCCGCAGCTGCCAAGGCGCCTGCTCCACCACCAGCACCACCACCCCTCACAATGGCGCCGCTGCCACCCGCACCTCCGACCCCTCTGGACGGAGTGGAATGCCCGGTACGGTGTGCGATGGCCACTGCCGCACCGCTGCCTGCAGCAGCGGTGTCAGCAGCAATGGAGGTGCCGTACTGTGCGCCAAGCTTCTGCACGAGGCCGAGTGCAACATTGGTGGCGCCGCGGCCGCCATGCATCTTTCCATGCACGGCTGGCTTTGGCGGTGGCGGCAGCGGCGACGTCGTACCAGCGGCCGACACGCAGTCACCGAAGTTGGGGTCCCTCCAGCCAGGAAGCCGGTTCAGCAACAGGTGCGCAACAGCTGGTACAACACCGAAGCCCTTGGTGTCGTACCGGCTACCGCCATTGATGCCTGCATCAGCGGCGGCACGGTGGCCGCGCTCGTCTTGCGCGGGCGCATCTTTTCCCATTCTGGTCCGCATGATGTTGAGTTGGGAGGTCTCTGAGGCACTAAAGTCCCCGGACGCCAGCAGCCACAGCAGGTAGGCGGCGGCGCAGGAAGCGGCCAGGGTGAACTGTTCCTGATGGCGACATGAACACGATGGAAACAAGACTAAACAAGACAAAACAAAACAACAAAGAAAGAGGAAGTTCGTGGGGACGTCCTGAACCTGTGAACCTGGGATGTATTTGTTGCCAAAGAAAGGTCAAAACGCAACTTCACAGCTCTCACAGTGGAACGCGGGAAGGGTTAATGGTTGATTGTTAGGGGGGGGACGAGAGTGTACGGAGATGTGTACGGCCCGGGAGAAGGGACACCCACCCTGGAGGGTGCAGCAGCAGCTACTGCCGCCCCCGCTCCCGCTGATGATGGCGGCTGCCGTGCGCCGTACAGTACTGCTGCCAATCGCTCCACCACTGAATCCCCGGCTTCACTTAAGGCCTCCTGAACCGCCTGCGGCCGCGATAAAAACAAAAGAGACGCACATACGACATTACAACAGCAGATGGTGATTATACCACTAGGTTATTGAAACGTTTCCGTTCGTCAGAACGCGGCTTCTCACCCTCTTCCATCCACCTGGACGCCCATCCCCAACTGACGTGCCAACCGCCAACGCCAACCGGCAATCCCAGTCCTCTTCCATTTAGCCCCCCTGCCACGGTCGCTGCCTGCGTTACCTGCTGCGGCTTCTGGCAATGACCGCTGGATGCAATGCCGTACAGGCTCCGGAGCAGAGCGTCCTGCAGCTGGCGCTGGGCCTTACGCACCTGCGTGACTCGTACATCCTCCACCTGCATGTACGGAATCATGCCGTACGGGGCGGCGGCAGCGAACAGGCCGTGTCGCACCTCCCCTTCACACGCGCCACTGGACCTGTGCTTCATTGGTGATTTGCAACACCCCGAGCCAGCTCCTGCTCAAGGTAAGACCCTCAAACGAAAGTGGTGCTGCTTCTCCGAGAGCCTCAACCTCTCGTAATGGGACCCAGCTCTGGCGGCTACGACCGCTGTCACGTACCTGTGCATGCTATGGATTGGTGTCGGACGATGCTAAATAGTGTACAGGAGGGGGAGGAGGAGGAGGAGGAGGAGCAGAAGGGAGAAAACGTGTTCTGGAAATGTAACGAATATATGGAAAGCGGCATGTGCGATATCCGCCAGCAAGCAGCGCACCTGCCCCTGTCCTCCCGCACCCGCTCCCGTGTCGCCGCCGCCGCCGTCACCCTCGTCACCCTCGCAGCCGCTCCCATGTTCCTGACTGCCAGCCACACCAGCCTCCTTCCCCACATCGCCAGCCTCCTCCACCTCTGTTACCCCAATAGCTCCCACATCACCATCACCACCATCACCACCATCAAGCTCAAACGTCGCCGAATACCCTCCGTCCTCACTGCAGCAGCTGCCCTTAGGCGGCTCCAAAGCCGCCACAGGCGCATTGGCCCTCTGCCCGTCGGCCGCCGGGCCCCCTTGCGCAGCAGCACCGCAACCACCACGTCCGCCCCCAGCGGCAGCAGCGGTGGCGGCGCCGGCCCCTGACACCGCCGAGCCATCGTCCCGCTCCTTTGCCCCGTTTCCCTCTCCCTCCACATCCTGGCGCTGTGCCCCCTCTCTGGCCGTGTCGAGTGGCAGTAGCAGCAGTAGCTTGATGAGACGCTCCGGAACCCGGTTTTGCTCCGGATTAGGCCACTGGCTGGGCACCTTCTGGCCGTCACAGATCAGCAACGCCGCGGAATGTACGGAGCTGCAAGCTGCGAGACACTCTGCTCACATATACATACGCACATACACACGGAATGTGCGTGCATGTGTGTCAGCTTGCAGCTCTCCGTGAGGAAGTTGAGCAAAAAGGTGAGGTGAGGTGGCCTGGAGGGTTTCAGGAACAAACGATCCGGATCCAGGTACGACAACCACAACCGGATAATAACGGCCGCCATATCTCAACCCACGCAGCCCCCCACTTACATACCCACCCCACCCCACTCCACCCCTCCCCACCCGCACCGTGCACCTGCCAGCAGTACTCCCTCCGCCGCGAGCTCCACCACCGCTCCGCCCTCCGTAACGCCCGCCCGCTTGGAGCCCCTCTTCGCCACCTTCTCCATTCCTGCCGGGGCACCAGCACCAGCACCAGCACCAGCACCAGTCCGCTCAGGTAGTGGGCCCCTTACCCCAACCGGGCCCCCGCCGCCCCCGCCCCCGCCGTCGCCTTGAGCAGCAGCAGCAGCAACAACAAGGCGCTTCAGTGCCCTGCATGCGGCCTGCAATGCACCACATCGCTCCAGGGCGGCTAACCCCCCCGCATCTGCCGCCACCTCCCGCATCGCCCACAGCACGTCGAAGCAGCCCCCCTGCTCCTTCTCCTCCTTGTCCTGCTCCATACGCTCAGCTAGTAGCTCCATCAGCCGGGGGGTGTCCAGGATCATGGTCTGAAGCTGGGAGTGGGAGCCGCCGGCGGCTGCTCGCCACGCCATACCCAACAGACAGAGACCCGCCTGGGGGGCACAACATCCGTATGCGTGCGTGTTTTGGTGGTTGGCGGTTGTGAAGTGCGAGGAGGGCATGTTCAGATTACCGGAGGTCCTGACTTCCAAGTCCTTTTGGGGTCCCAGGTCTGTTGGGGGCCTTATGAAGTTATGGCGCTTGGGGGCCGGGATGTGGTCTGGGGGGTTGATTTCGCGTTGACCGCCGCAGGGTTGTCAGACTGCTGCAGGTAAACTATTCTGTAACGTAAGGCGCGGAGGGTGGGTCCTCCGGGGGCCCAGATCACCTGAAACAATGACCTGCGATAACAAACCCTTGATGTCCGGCCTTGTCAGGAATGCCCTAATGCCACCTTGATTTCCGGTAGGGGTCTCCTTAGGACGACCCTTCCCATCCCCCCATTTTTAGGACGCCACGATTGTCAAGACACGAAGACGTTTTCCTTTCGAGGAACATGCAATTAGCCCAGTAGACCATTACCTGGCGGACATCCCGACGGGGACTGTTAATGAGGACAGGTAGTACGGCACACAAGCGCTGGACCAGCGGCAGCAGCATCGGCGGGTGTAGCTGCACACAACAGGCCAGGAGCAGGGCCGCGGGACCTTGCAGTCTCTCTACCCTGAGTTGCGGAACGAGGCAGTGGAAATAGCCGTGGCACTGAGGGCCCGGAAGAAGAGGAGTGGGGAGAGAGGCGCAGAGAGAAAGGAGGGAGGGGTTATCAGAAGGGCCGCAGGTTTGGATGAGTTGCCACATGCGGGTCTGGATGGGTGTACAAGCGGTGTAATGGCCTGGAAGCAAAATGGCTTTTTTTGGTGGCTTAAAAATGGATTTACCATGTCATGGAGTATGAGTGCAGCTGCAGTAGCAGTGACCTGAAGAGCAGAAATTGACCCAGAACCAGCGGCTCTACACATCAATAAATAGACATATGGGGCTGATATGATCGTCGAGCGGTTGTTGCCCCCGAACAGCTGTGGACCCCGCATAACTGCAAGGGGCGGAAAGTCCTGAAGGCAGGAGTGGGGGTTTGAAACTCGCACCTGCACGTACTGAACTTCCGTGATGGTCCAGGATTTTGAAAGGAGTGATTCAAATGCATGGAGGTGGCTGTGAAATTTCCGTTCGCCGTGATAGGCTTGGTTGCGGCGTGCACGGGTCCGCTCCCGTACGCATCGTCCCTCTGCGGCACCGACCCCGTGGGTCGAGGTTCTACCGGAGTAGACAGTATGTTGTCATGAGGGTAATATCTTTACTTACGGTTCGTCTAGCGACGGGAAAATGCCTGCTGATGGCCCACCGTGGCCCTGGGGACTCAAACTCAGACGGAACATGCGTCGTCGATAACGCCGTCCAAGCATCTCCTGTTCTTACAAGGTCACCGGTATGTATCGATGGTGGGCTTGTTGTATTCCTATCGTCCCTGTCTACACGAGAGCTAGCCCGAGCGATTCGTCGCGTGCTTTGCTGTGACGAAGTGTATAGCAGCAACGGGTACGATGTAAACTCGTTAAAGTACTTATTAAATATTGCTTGTTTGATTGCAATAGAGCTTTTCCCCCGAGTAGGGCCAATTCCTGAGGTATGGTCACCATCTTCCGAACCATCATGAGCAATGCCAAAAAAACGGACGGAATTAGCTGTCCCTGTAACAGTCCGACTTCCTGGCTGGCGTAAGCTGCTGCGCGTCGGTGTTGCAAGAGGAGTGTATCCGTCATTAGTCACAGTGGACGCCATTTCGACTTTGCCGAGCTATCTATCGTGCATATGAATTAATCCTATAATCTATAATGATTTTAAACAGGTTCAAAACTGGCCAATCATGCCGACGCGGTTACAGTGTCCGTTACCGGTGGCGGTTACCAGCGAAAGCATAAACCGCGCGACACCTCCAGGACTCCCCGCTCACCGTCAGAAGCTGCTTCAAAATACGCCAGCAGACCTAATGCAGCTGCTTAGCACGCCGCCATTGTAGGGTCCCCGGGTCCAGCAAATGCAACTTCACCTCTTCTTCATCACCTCCGTCATCACCCGCCTCCTCCTCTTGCCTTACTCCCTGACCATCACCCGCTTCCTCGCTTATTCACCCAGCCTTCAACACCCCCTTCCGCTCAACCCCACCCGATGCCCTCCCTGACACCTCTACCGCCGCCACCGGCGATGATGCAGCACCCCCGCCCGCCTGCTCCTGCCGCAGTGTCGTGAACAGCTCCCGCATCGTGGATTCTACAGCCCGGCCCCACAACACACCACCACCGCACGCTACCGCCTTGGCTAGCAGCTGCAGCAGTGCATGCACACGAATGGCCTTCTCTGGTGCCGCACCGCCTGAAAGGATGCTCAGGGCCAGAGGACTGGATCCGGCGCTCCCCAGCATTTCCCACATCACCCCATGCGCCTCGTGAGGGCCGCCCTCCTGAAAGGCTGGACCTGGAGAATGCACAGGGGAGGAGGACCGAAGCAGCAAGTGCAAATCCTGGTGTTGGAGTGAGGGAAGCTGGACATATGCAAGCAGCAGCCACAGCTGCTGATGGAATTGCTGCTGCTGTTGCTGTTAACCCGGTGGTGTGTCACGGTCGGTACTGTTTTCCAAGTAGTCATGAAGATGAGAAGTGGATCCAATCGGCACAGGGGACCAGGCCGTTGCTCGCAGCAGTCTGTAGAGGCTATCTGGGTTCCAATGGCTTCATCCAGTGACTACTGGGTCATGCACCACCACACGAGCTCAGTGCCATCACACAGTGCACCCTACACAACTTCTACGGACACATACTGCCCCTGCCCCCCTCCCCCCTCCGCCTGAGTCACACCTAAGGCCCCCTTATTACCCCCTGATAATGATTCTGCCATGCGCCATGAGTTCTGGTAGATATGCATGTCTGGTATTACCAGTGAGCTAACCCACGAACACAGAATCGGAGTTTCTCACATGCAGCTAGCTTGTTGTTGTTGTTGTTACATGGTCGTGGGTGCATTCCCCATACCTGCAAACCACCCTAGTACGAGCCGAGGGCTCAAGGGCTGCCAAATCGCCTATAAGCACCATCCTACCTCACACTTCCAATGAGACAAGTGATGAAGGATACTAACGACCAAAGGGAATGATAGAGTTGCGGTGAGACCATATACGTTCCAGCATCCTTGCCAGGCGTTCAGGTTCCCACTTCATAGTGTCCTTCATATGTTCAAAGCGTGGAAAGCCCATATCAGATCTGATTTCGTCGTAAACCGGACAGTCCAGCAAAATGTGTTTCTCATCCTCGATGTGGCTATCAGTGCTGCAGCAAGGGCATACTCACTCCTCCCTAGGTATGTAACGCCTGTTAGCCGCCAGTGCCCAACAGCAAAGCCTAAACTGCATAAGCTTGCAATTCGCCGAACGTGGGATAAACATTGTGATGTGCGGGAGCACCTCCTTCCTGCCCGCTTGCTCGGCCGCCAGCCAATGCTTATATTTCGTGGATTCCTGGTTGCTTGCCGTCTGACGGATACACGTCAGGCTGGGCATCTAAATGTGTATGCTTCCAACCTGTTGTATTCCGCTTCTTAAATCTGGGCCCAAACTGATACATTTTTCTGTCTTATTTTTCCTTTCTCGCTTGGCACGGTTACTGGACAAGTTTTGCTGGAACTAACTGAATTCCAACTGCCTATTTTGCCGCTTTTCTGTCAGATCTTTATGGCTCCGACCTCTGGGTCAGACGGCGAGCGGGACGCTGTCATGGATGCCTACAAGTAAACGCCACCTCAGGTGGAAGTCCATACTTGCAGAAGTATGGGCGGGGGTCGTAGCACAGGCTACGACTGGGACGCTGGTCCCTGGCTCGCGGAGCCCCGTCATCGATTGGAAGCATGGATCAACGGTATGCCATTCCGGACTGGACCGCGCCTTTTCGGAACTGGCTGTACGATTCATGGGATGGCCGCATCCTCCGCTATTTAAGCGGGCGAAACTCTTCCAAATCGGTGTCTTCCGACACCACCATCCAGTTCTGGTTTAGTAAGATATAACAAGTCTGGTATCGAGACGGTTCCTCCCGGGGCCTCTCGCATTTCTGAAATTTTCAAGATCCCCCTTTTGCCATCAAGATCCCCACTTCTACCGGCGCGTGGATGGAGGTCGACGACATCACCGGACCTTTGGCTACAATCATCGACGCTCTTGGCGATGCTGTCCACAAAGTCGCTGCCGCCGGCTCTGAACCGCCAGTTCCTTCGGTGGTCCCTGCCCTTTGCCGGAGGCTCTGTCAAGAGCTTCGTAGCACCCGTTCGGTGCTAGAACAGACTTCCAGAAAAAATGACAGTTCTCTTTACTTGGTGGAACACATCAAGGGTCACGCCACCGGGACGACCGCCGGCGATGGAAGGAACAACATCGCTACTGAGTGCGGCTTGCCCGCTGGGGATCCCGCACCCATCATCACTGACAACGGGGACCTCCCGGCACCGGAGGTCAGGCCTCGGGCTGCTACTGTTGCCGCTGGGCGGAATACAGCTCACCAGGCCTCTGGTGCTGAACTTCAGTCTCAGCTTGCACATTATCATATTTGCAAACGTCAATGACCGGACACCGCGGCCTGTCTCCTGTTACCAGCACATGTATCCCTGAGGGCTGCCTCCTTGCTGATAGGGATGCGTCGGGTTCTTCAGTTTCGTGCTGGTAGCAAGCTCTTCAACGGTGTAGACATGACGGGTCAACTTGTTTCCCTTCCAGGTCTGCTGTATACTGCTGACGTTTGGTACGATCCCCCTCTTGTCCTGGGGCACCTTGACACGGAGCCCCATGTTTCAGTCCTGTGTGCAAAAGTTGCTGCGTCAACAGGGCCCAGAGTCCCGTTAATTGGCATTCGTGTCGCTGGACATTCTTTAACTGCCATGGCCGACTCTGGTGCCAGCGACGACTTCATTTCTGCGTCCATTGTTGAGCAACTCGGACTGAAACCTCAACTGGCATCATGGTCATCTGTCACCCTTGCTGACGGGGGTAAGCAGGTCTTTTTGGGTCAAGTTTCCCTTCGTATATCCTTGGGCCCTTCGTGCCTAAATGTCCGTCCGTATGTGCTGCCTAAGTTTACTGATGCAGCCACGTTTATCTTAGGGTCCGCTACCCTTGATCAGTATGGGGCTCATCTGAATTATGAGACCCACACCTTGCAGTTGCAGAAGGGAACCTTGTGTTATAAGGTGCCTTTCACCACTGCAGAACGGATGGGAGAAGGGAATACTAGTGCTGCACACTCCGAACCCTGTGTGAATTTTGCTGCTGCCGCTATCTGTAAGCGAATTGAGCCTGAACCCGTTGGGTGCAAAGCAGCTATCCATATGATTCGCAAGGGGGCGCATGGATTGCTAGTACGGCCTAAATTGCCTAAATTGCAACTGAATACAGCCGTTACCCAGATCTCTGAAAATGACCCTGCATTTGAAGCCCTTCTTAACGAATACTCAGATATCTTCCGTGAGGCCCCTGGACTTCCCCCGATGAGACCGGTAGATCATACCATACCTTTGGCTCCTGGTGTGCAGCCTGTTTCGTGCCCCATGTATCGCCTCAGCCCCCTGGAGCTGGATGAGGTGACACACCAGGTAGCCGACCTACTGAGGAAAGGTATGATTCGACCCAGCACATCCCCGTATTGTGGTCCCATTTTATTTGTGGGCAAAAAGGACGGGACTCTGCATATGTGCATAGACTATAGGGGTTTAAATGCGACCACCATTAAAAATCACTATCCTATCCCATGGGTCGATGATCTACTGGATAGACTGCGTGGCTCGGCTTTCTTTAGCTCTATTGACCTACAGCAGGGGTACAATCAAATCCGTATTGCTGAATCAGATATTCCGAAAAGTGCATTTCGTACGCCCTCTGGTCATTACGAGTATACTGTGCTGAGCTTCGGCTTGACGAACGCTCCTGCCACGTTCCAAGCCCTGATGGACCGAACCTTTCGGCCCTACATAGACCGTTTTGTCGTTTGCTACCTAGACGATATCCTGGTTTATTCAAAGACACGTGAAGAGCACCTGGAGCATTTACGACTGGTCTTTGAAATTTTGCGGCGTGAGCAACTGTTTGCCAAGCGTTCTAAGTGCCACTGGGCCCAGCCTCAGGTCGAATACCTTGGTCACATCGTCTCCAAGGATGGCATCCGCATGGACCCCCGTAAGACTGCTGCGGTGCGGAACTGGCCTACCCCGACCAATTTGCAAGAACTAAGGAAGTTCTTGGGGCTGACGAACTACTTCCGTAAGTTCATCAAACGCTATGCCATTATTGCCACACCTCTGACAAATCTGACACGTAAAGGGGCTTTTGTATCTCCTGACTGCTGGGGTCCTGACTGCCAGCAAGCGTTCGATACACTTAAGCGTGTTGTCTCTGAAGACATCATCCTGCGTTTCCCGGACTACTCCCAACCTTTCCGTGTGGAGGTCGTAACTGATGCGTCCCTGCATGGTACGGGAGCAGTACTGCTGCAAAACGGGAGACCAATTGCGTTTACTAGTAAGAAGTTCTCGGGGGCTGAAACCCGTTATACCACTGGGGAACAAGAACTTCTTGCTGTACTGCACGCGCTTAAGGAGTGGCAGTGTTATCTGGAGGGTCGGCCGTTCACCCTCAAAACCGACCACAAACCCCTAACGTTTCTGCAAGGCGTGCCTACCCTTAACCGTCGTCAAGCCTGGTGGATGGAATACCTTAGCCGGTTTGACTTTACATGGGAATACCTGCAAGGCATCCTTAACATTGCTGATGCCTTAAGTTGGCACCCTTGTCTGCATGCAGCCATTCTGTCAGTCGTTACACGCAACCGTGCTGCAGCACCCGTTGTGCCCTCTGAACTTGTGCAACGACTTCGAGCTGCCTATGCCACGGATCCCTGGTTTTCCGATAACCACAATACTGGCCATTTAACCCGTAACAGTGGCCTTTGGATCCGCACTGAGGGTACTTTTCGGCAGGTTGTCGTTCCGAATGATGACTTGCAGCGTCATGATCTCCTGTCATGTTTTCATGACGACCCGCTGGCTGGGCACCCTGGCTGCACCCGTCTGGTCGAGGTTCTCCATCGTCAATTCTGGTGGCCTCGGATGGCTAAGGACGCCGAGAACTATGCCCAGAACTGTGAGCTGTGCCAACGCAATAAAGTCCTGTCTGGTAAGCCCCACGGCCTCCTGTGTCCCTTGCCTGTGCCGGCCGCCCCTTGGGAAAGTGTTACCATGGACTTTGTTGTAGCTTTGCCCAAAACTGAGGGGGGATTCGATGCCGTTTTGGTCATGGTAGACCGACTCACGAAAATGGTGCACCTGGCACCTACGGTATCATCCTGCACAGCTGAGCAAACTGCACGTCTGTTCTTTGACAACATAGTGTGTTTGCATGGTGTCCCCAAGAATGTTGTGACCGACCACGGATCACAATTTGCCAGCAGATTTTGGGGCACCCTGGGTGATCTGTTAGGCATGCGTGTTAACCTGAGCACTGCCTATCACCCACAGACTGATGGACAGACAGAACGTACGAATCGCACTCTTGGCGATATGTTGCACAATTATGCCGGACATACACCTTCTGTCTGGGACACATATCTAACTGCTGCTGAATTCGCGATTAATAATGCTGTGAATCGCGCGACTGGCAAAAGTCCGTTTTTCCTGAATTATGGATACAACCCTGCCTTGCCTGTTTGGCGGGAGTTGGACGTCAACTTGCCTGCAGCAAAGACGTTTGCCAAGTCCTTTGTGTCCCGACTGACTGACGCGAAATCTTGCCTTGAAGCTGCACAGCAACGTACGGCGGACTACTTTAACAAATCCCGACATGCCATCACCTTCTCGCAGGGCCAGTTGGTGATGCTGAGCACTAAGAACCTGAGGTCTCTAGCGGATGGTTCTCGTAAGCTTTTACCTCGTTGGGTGGGACCATTTCCTGTTGTTCGCATGGTTGGGTCTACTGCAGTCGAGCTGCAACTACCACCTGACATGCACATCCACCCCACATTCCATGTCTCTCTAGTCCACACTATGACGACGGGTGATCGCGTTACGTCGCGTTAAATTCGCGTTACGAGGCTTTAACGCGAGTTTAACGCGACGCTAACGCGATGTAACGCAATCTTAAGCACTGATAACGCACCGGTTCGCTTGTGCGTATGGCCTAACGCACATCATCTTTATTCGCATGCGAACGAGCTGAGTAATTTTGGCTGGCAGTGCGTTAGCTTAAGCAACTAACGCAAACTAACGCAAACTTTACGCGATCGTAAACGCGACCAGGTGACTTTTAACGCGAGCGTTACCTTACCTATAGATGTAACGCATACGCAAGCGAATGGCATACGCGGCTGCGACTGGTGCGAATGCGTATGCATATGCGAATGTGGCGAATGATATCGCGAGTTTTACGCGACCCTAATCGCGACCAGGTGACTTTTAACGCGAGCGTTAGCTTAGCTATAGGTGTAACGCATACGCATGCGACTGGTGCGAATGCGTATGCATATGCGAATGTGGCGAATGATATCGCGAGTTTTACGCGACCCTAAACGCGACCAGGTGACTTTTAACG